AATTATTCTTTGTTTCTCTCCTTACCTCTGTGATCTCCATATCTCTTACCTAATCCTGTGCTTTTCAGTGTGATGTGATTGAAACTTTGGTGCAATGTCATTGGTTACCCCTGTGATGGATCATTGTGCTTGAATCTGTGAGGGATTTCATGGGAAAGCAAGGAACATGAGCAGGTTTTAGTACAGAAAAAATGGCAGACGTTTTTGTAACTCTCCTGTTAGTTGTAGAAAGTAATCTCATTTGTTGCTTTCATTTTTATGTGAAGGGCTTCAAGGCACGCTGGCACTTCGTCTTCTGTTACCTTACTAAGGTAACTCTGTGGTATTCTTAAACTTTGTGGAACATCATAAAAGTATTTTTTTTTATTACCATTTTCCCCATGCAGACCTAGATAATTTGACTTCTTTCTGCTGTCTTACATTCTGCTTCCTTCACAATTGCTGTCATTACTTTAGTGCCTTGAATGTGTTTTGCTCTAGATCCAATTCCTTTGTCAGCTTCTCATGCATAACACCCTCTACATAGTCAACTTTCTCCAGTCCTAGTCCAGGAAGAAGTGTTTTCAATTTGAAATTTGTCATTGCCCTGTGAGCATAAGTGATCTCAACTTTCTTTTCCATCACTGACTCGTCCCCCTCACTGTGTCCCTCAGTAATTGTAGTACATCACATATATGAGCTATGCTCTATACTTCCATTGTCCTAGTGTGAATCTGTTCTGTATAAGCAAAATTTTCACTATGGCAAACTGTGAGAGATAAGAGAAAGAGACNCAGCTGTTACAAAGGTAGTTACAAAACTGCAGTTGTAAAACATTTTTTGAATGAAGCCTAGCTAGTGAAGAAATACATCTAAGTCTACCACCAAATTCCAAAGCCCAAAATGAGAGATATACACTCCACAGGACACTCGATAGGCATGTCTATACTGCCCACTCAGGCTTTGAAAATCCATCCTACAATACAAGGTACATGTAAATGAAACCAGAGCTACCAAGTCAAACCTATCAGACATTGACAATCATAAAGAATGGATTCGTGGAACACATCACGATGAAACAAACAGGACTGCCCAAACGGCCATATCTACAATGATTGGGATCATCCAAAGAAAAAGTCCATCAATTGCAGAAACGGGAGATAGAGAAGGTCCTTCGACATCACAAAAGATGACATGCTCATGTTGAGGTGACTGGATTAAACTTTGTGTGCTGGATGATGGAGGCCTTGCGGGCAGGTACAGTCTCGGGAGTTGGGATGGCCTCCCCTGTGGGCTGTGCCATAGTTTGGTTCAGGCCTGCTCCACGTAGCTTGTTGAATCCCAACTTCCCCTGCTGCTTGTACATCTGATAATCTCCAGAGTCGAAGAATTTTTGCTACAGGTGGAAGGACACTAATGTATGAACCATGAAGGTGAACATTCTGAAAATGTTATCTATGAGCTTCACTCACCCCTTTTGTGAGTCGTTTCTGCAAGAACATGGAATGCCCAGCGGCTGGCTTCACAGATTGTGGGTATCTGGCCTTCAGCTTTTCCTCCTCCATTTTCTCAATATCCCTTTCTGTAAGCTATTAAAAAAACAGGTATTAGTAAGATTGATGATTTTAATAGGTTATTCTGTTTTAAATGTAACAAAAAATGTTTCAGTGAAGCTGGAGGGGGCCAAATTCTTTGGAATAACACTTCATAGATAGGATAGGCTCATACCTGAGGAGGGTCTGATGTTGGTCCCTTTGAGGGTTCATCCCCATCACTGGAACCTTCTGGAGGTTCCCTTTCATCATCAGGAGCATTGCTCATTTCTGGATGTTCCTCAGACATTATTTTGCTCGTCCTGACTGAATTATCTGGATCAGAGTAGATTTTCACAGTTGTTGGCTGTAGGCTTTTTCCTAGCAACTGAAAACCAAGGCTGGTATAAATTTTCAGGGAAAGATGTATATATAGGAAAACTTTTAAAAGAAAGAATCAATATCAAGTGATAGCATGAACCAAACTTTTTTACTGAAAGGCTTACATATATAATTCATTAGGGATGCAACAATGCCAGATGTTGCTAGAATTGGTCAAGAGTGAGCTGTCTTAACTTATGTGGATCTTAAGCAAAAATGATTTTATGAGAATGATTACCATTTTCCCACAAATTCCTGCAAGTATCAATATCAGTCATACCTGGAGAGATGCATCCTGTTATGTGTGATATAAATGTAGTCTAGAAAACAAAGGACATCTCTCTTATTTGAGGATTTGAGCTTTCACTACATTTGCTTGGATCTGAACCTTTTCTGATTCCTTAAGTGATCTGTACTTGCATGCATGTCTGTAGAATCAGGAAGGTGATATAGGCCTATATGCAGACACTGTTTATATTAAAACTTGCTGAATTGGTGTCTAAATTTTACATGGATATTAATAATGCTGCATTTCAATATTTCAAATGAAAATTTTGTTATGCGGCTCGTAAGGTCAGAAAGTTTGGCCACTCCCAAGTTAGATGGACCTTTAATAAGAAGCAAGCCACTAGAAAATTATTACACACCCTGGCACCTTTGTGGGCCAGACATTACACCATGTCAATGCCCCTTTCCCATCTTCGTCTCCACAATCAATGTCATCCTGCATGAACCAGGACCAAACCTACAAGTCCCTTCCTATGATCATGACATGAACCCCTTCGTCCCACCAACTCTTGACAACCTTGTCAACTGGTCAACTGTCATGAATGTAGGTTAAAAAAAACCTAGTACTTGCCATCAATAGAGGGCAATGCCATGATGTTTGCACAGGAGTAGTATGCTTTATAACCTATTCCTTCTTACCCTCAATTTTTTGGGAGTTGGTGAACTTTTGACTGATGCCTATCATTCTAAACAGAAAAATTGCCAAGCTTATGCCAAATCTGGTTCTGCAATTGTTACTTAATATGTCTTAATTACGAATGTATTTTGAAACTGAGGATAGCAAACTGGATGGGACAAAAAAAGAGGTCAAGCTTTAATCCTATATGTAACTTAGACCTAACATTAGGCCTGGTCCAGTGTTCACAGCTTGCCTCTAGAACTTTTTGGCCAAGCACAACTGCACTCAAGTCAAATACACACGAATACATGGCATGAGGAATATAATTTAGTGTTTCACTTGGTTCAGACATTTTTCCATATGAGTGGGACACTTTTGAATGAGGAACATCCTTTGCATGGATTTCCAAGCCCAAGTAAAAAATTGACTGAAGCATATGCTAATCATTACACCAGATGCTGTTTATTATGTTCCTTAACCCTGCACAAGTGGGCAGGTTAGTGATGTTGCAATACAGGGAATATGTCTTGTGTCCCCGTCCCTCCCACTCCAATTTCTATCCTGGGAACATGATACAAGAAGGCAACTATTTTAACCCCAGCCTAATTTTGTATATGATCTTCTTTCCATCCCTTTCATGATTCCACAAACTATCTTATATCTGGTGCCAACAGGCCTATCAAAAACCCATCATTAACACTGCAGTCTCTTCCCCTTATCTGTGCTCCATTAATTAATGGAGTCATACGTTCTCATGTGTTTCTGCTTAGTAATTTCAAAAGAACGGTAGCTATGTCTGAATTAAGGACTTTCTTCTCTCTCGTTACACCACACTGTCACATGCACGTTTCAGTACGTCAAGCTAGCCGAAGCAAATATTGGAGATTATTAATGAAGGTTATTGCCTTTAAGTGAATACATATTGATAAGGGGGATGGTTACCAAGTGCTCCATGCACTCCCTCTTTTAGGAGGTGCGTCACCTCCCACACGAGTCTCACATAGTGAACATGGGCCAACATGTCCTACGGTAGGCCTAATTCATTCCGGATTATGGGGAATGAAACGTCGGAGAAAGGTGAATGATCGACGCAAGTCAGTTATATTTATCACTCCTCAATTTTCGACCACACGATAGAAACCAATAGCTCTTCGCTTGACATTGAAAATTAATACTTGAATCAATTTGTACGCATTTCTGACCAAATATAGTCCAGCTTGACGCGCACCAGCCCCGTTCCACATCGTATTTAGTCTACTACCGTTCCCAACTGACATTTTCTCAATGGGTCCAGCAGATATTCACTTGAATGCTGCATGAAGGATGCAATAAGTTAACATAATTCTCTACTGCGCTCGTCAGAATTCAGTTATAGAAGTCTAAGTAACGTTAATACCATTGCACATCTCGACTCCGACTTCACCATCCAAATACTGGATGCTGCCATGACTGTAATGACGTCGGGACTACTGGATAAATGGTGCGAACGTATGACTCATGATACGCAAGAAATAATTGAAATTCCAACTTGAAGGGCAAGCAATTTTAGAGCATTTCCCACTTAAAAGTTACCATTAATTAGGCAGTTAAATTTGAGACAAATATTTGTTTATTTATCGAAAGAATTTGCCAGCCCTCATCTTTTTGGAGCCTGTTCGCTTGAACGGGTCGCATCGATGTGGACAACACTGGCAGAAGTGTGGCGCCTTGCAGTTCGCGTTCTCCTTGACAAACCGCTCGCTTCCATTGTCTCAATTTTCGTTCTACGGATTCTTAGGGGCAAGAGCTTGTCACAATGAGTGAGGTTTTGAATATCGACAACATGGACGAGTTTGAAGTGGACGACGTGGGTGACCGTGAGTTTCATTTCATGACCCACTCTGTTCTCAGCCCGTACCAGTTTTTCGTATCCCAGGTTGAAAGAGGCCTTCGTATACAAGTATAGAATAGAGAGTCTTAGTTTATCTAGACGGTTAGTAAATGACAAATGCAAATGCCCACGTATAAGTGGTTTTAAGCGGGGGACTCATTTCCAGACATGGGGCGAAGGGACCGATGCTCATAGGATCAAAGGCTTTTTACAGTCTTCAGCTTTATATAATCTGTTGCCAGATAGTCAATCTACCTGCTTCTCTACTATGATGATCTTGTCAATTTTGTTCCTGTCACTACTGTTACTTATGGCGAAGTGGTATGACAGCATGTGTCAAGCTCTAGAAGTAACCTCCCTTTCCTAGCAAGGGAACATCCCCTTTGTAACTCATTCTTTGAGTTCATGAAAAAGAAGTTGTTAGTATGCATATGATGGGGAGAAATTCAATCAAAAAAGCTGTCTAGTGCTGCTTACTGCTGTGGTTGGTCACCCTCTTGGAGGATCACCTTTTGTATTTAACTACAGTCCTTATTTTGGATTCTGGTTATTTTTTGTCTTGTGAGCAATTTTTACACCCTCCCACAATGTAAACCTAGTCTCTGCTTTGTGGCTATGGCTGTATGGACACTGAATTCATAAGACATGTAGTTGTATTGTTATTCAGAAATGGGCTGGCCATCTGGTTGAACATGTGCATTGCTCCAAAGTCAATAGTTGACTATAGCAGGCATAGGAAGTACATAGTAAATGCATGAAACCCATTTCATTCATTCCCAACCTGAATCTTTATTTGTTCATACGCTCCCTTGTTTCAGAAGCTAAATCAAGGAATCATTATAACTCTGTGTCTCATCTCTCAAAAGTAGTTTTGGACTAGTGCATACCTTGGCCATTTTGGCCTACTGAGAATAGGCACATTACTATGCCCATTACTATTCTTGCTTCCACAGATGGCATTCAGAAGTTGAAGGAGAAAGCAAAGCGCAGAAAGGGAAGAGGCTTTGTATCAGATAGTGCAACCAAAGATGATGTTCGAGAGTATGAAGGAATGCAGATTGATGGAGATGATGACACTCCAGGCCCTCAGAGATGTGAGTATCTGCCTGGAAGGTCACGCCTTTTACCACATTGATGAACCATGTCCTTTGTAAATTTATATTTTAGCATGAATGACCCTGCATTAGCAAGGCTTCATCTCATATAAATCATACTGCTACTGGAGCCATAAATATGTAATCCTTGTCATGAAGAGTGTAAGCTTTTCTTTTTCCAAGTTCCCTAGCCTTACATACCTGTACCTTTCCTTATATTTGAGCTTACATAGCTTTCAAATTGAAGTAATCACTTTTATTTTAGCTGTTGAGGGGTTCATCCTTTTTGTGACGGGTGTACACGAAGAAGCTCAGGAGGATGATGTACATGAGAAGTTCTCAGAGTTTGGAACCATCAAGAACCTGCACCTGAATCTGGATCGACGTACAGGATTTCTCAAGGTGATCTTCACATTCCCACAGCTCCATTGGTCATGATTTTATTGATCATTTGGGATGAAGCTAGGCAAAGATGCAATTTTGGATTGATGCAGTTCTAGGTTGATGTCATGATGGCTACATGACATTACCTGTTTGTTGTACACCAATGTATTTAGGATATGCTGTTTGAGTAGCATCAACAATTTGCTATATCGATCAAAATAACCCCTTGCCAGTTTTGACATTGTCTCCGCCATGTCCCATTAATCTCATGGGTGGGATGATAAGTAAAGACATGAAAAGGTATTAGCTTTTATGATGGCCCATATTGGATGGAATATGACCTTAATGTCAGTATTATCAATATTCTCAGCTCATGTATTGAAAAGCAATCAAGTAAGCCCACATAGGAAGATGGGATTAGGGTTAAACATGTCAGAAGAATCAAGTGGATGATTCCAAGTGAAGTAGAGAGTCAGATAAGAAATCAGAGGCTTTCAAGAATGAAGAGGGACTTGCTTCAATTTCAGGATTGGACATAGAATAACCTGTCTATATGGTTGGTTCCTTAACATTAGAATTACTGAGGCTGTCAATTTGACTGCTGCATTAAAATAAGGGTAAAACTATTGTTCTCTAACATTTTAGTTTTTCCAGATGTTATTTGATATGTTCCAAATTTCAATATTAGATAGGAAAAATAAAAACTGTGAAGGCCTTTAGTTGCCAAACGAGCAGAGTAAAGTGCTTTGAAAATATGCAAGCAGTCAGAATTACTTTCCCAGTAGTTCTAGTGTTAAGATGCTTTTGTGGCTGCTTCCCACATCCATATATTGGAGGCTGATGCTGGCTCACACACTGTGCTTCTATTGTTCACTCATTTTGTTTGTTTTGAATATTTGCTCTCATTTCTTGCCTTCACCTTCCTCTTGTTTCTGTTTTCACATCCTCACCTAGTTTCTCAATATTTTTGTTTGCTTCCAGGGTTATGCTCTTGTGGAGTATGAAACATTCAAAGAAGCTCAAGCTGCCAAGGATGGCTTGAATGGAACAAAACTACTTGACCAGACCATTAAAGTAGATTGGTGCTTTGTCAAAGGGCCCAGGAAGTGAGTTTGCTCTACAGGATTTCTCTTTTTCCCTCTCCTGATGAGATAAAAAATTATTTTCTTCTTTCAGGACAAGAAGAGATCGAGACCGTCACAGACGTTGAAGACACTTCCCTTCTGTCTCACATGTTTGTGGTACTCATTTGTATTTGTGTGTACAAATGAACTCAATTTTCTGTGTCCATGCAGAGTCCCTTGTACTCAAATGACTGAATGCTTTGGAATGATGTCAGAGAATGAATGAAAACATTGTGAATAGTTTTTGCCCAGATGAAGGTTCTAGGTGGATTCTTTATCCTCATTGGTCACCAACAGAAAAACAGTAATATTTTATTTTTTTCTTGACTGAAATGATAGTTAAACTGACCTAAGTTCCAGGAAATGAAGACAAAAGGGAAGATCACAGATATTGTGATCTTGGGTGTGCCCATGCCCCCTTTTTATTCAGAAATAGGAAAACAATTTTAAACTTCCTATTAGTTGGGTATGTAGCAATATTTGTAAACAGATTTTTGTATGTTTTGTTGCTGAAAGAATCTTGTGCAATTCAGTCCCAAGGATCAAAATGTCGAGGGAGGATCTGATCAAAGAGGTGGATAGTGACCTGGTTTCCTTATATGAGATTTGCCAGCAACAGGGTTGTACTGGGCCGCAACTGGCAGAGATCTCTCGGGTCCTCCTCGAGGCTGTCCGAGGGCGGAAGCAGAGATGCTGGGAGAAAAAGAGCAACTTTCGCCTGTCTGTCATTGGATGTTTTCTTGCAGTGCTCATGGCACTGATATTTGCCAGTGGAACTGGTCAGGACCATGGACTGGCAGTCCTTCGTCTGTCAATGATCAAGGTATGCCTTTAAATCCTTCATAATTCGATTTTTGAAGGAGTTTATTTTTGCTGTGAATTATGGCATGTTTTAAATTTCAGATTCGGAGCTGGTTCGACTGGACAGAATGGTACCATTCAAATTGCTTGCTACCAAACCCTGACTACATACCAAGAGGACTGGAGATGTCTGACTGCATGGTAAACCCTATGAAACCCTTGTCAGATTCAATTAAGGTTTTTTTTTTCCCTTACAGATGGGATATCTGTTATCAAACCTTTGATAACTGATATTCCACCTGTCTTCTTCATGCTATCACTTTTCATCCATGTAATGTCATCCAAGATTTTTTTCCATGTGGAAGATATCAGATTCGTGCAATCTTTGGAACTTTTTTAATGTGGAGCTGGCAAGGAAAAAAAAATTATCTCTTACCCAATAAATCATCACTTTTTTTTGTTTTGCTGTTTTAACTGCATTTGTCATAGACAGTTATGAAATAAGGAGGCTTGAATGGGAGATGATGGTTCTGTGGTGGATGCCTCTACTTCATGAACATTCTTTATTGCCTTGAGGATATTCCATCACTCCCCTGTAATATTGTCATGAGACATGTATCTCTTCATTGAGTACCCCTTTTTAGACGTCTACCATGGCTCATCTCAAGTTGTAAGACAGGATGGATAAGATTATCATTTATGTATTCTGTTACTGCATGATGGCCCCTCCTCATAGCCTTGGTGTCTGTCTGCCAGGCATGTGAAGCATCAATCTGGGTGGAAGAGGTGGATCTTGAGGAAGCATCTCCTCTATTGCTTGCTGCTCACCTGGATCATGATCTCCCATTAGTGGTCAGAGGGGGAGCCCTTTCCTGGCCTCCATTGCAAGATCCCACCTACTTCTCTATTTCCAACATCTCTCATGTCAGTTTCCTTTCCATATCTATCATATAACTTGTTTTCTTGAATTATCCCATCTGACAGTGCCAGTGAATGTCCCCCACTCCCCATTCTTTTGTAAATATATTTTATGTACTTTTTTGCTATTGCAATTTTTCCTGAGTGTTTTGCATCACCTCACCTTCCTTCTCAATTGTCAGCCTTATTATCATGTTTCCCATAATACTCCTGATACTCTGGATATTTGAATAATGAAATTTGCTCCATGTTGTCTTTTCAGCTGTATGCAGATGTGGACCTGATGTATGTGTGCAAGATGAGCAGCAGTGCTCGTCTGCATGATGGTCTGGACCTCCAGCGGTTCCTCTCCCGCCTTGCAAGGGGTTATGGCCCACCACATTGGTTTCTGCAATGGTATGCACCTCTTGTTTTCATCTGGCCCATCTTTCTTATGTGGAATTGTAATTCTTTGTGCAAAAATTTATTTTGGGGGGAGAGGGGTGACAGATGCATTAAGACCAGTTTTTTTTTTTTTTAGAGGGGGGGGATTTCACCCTCTAGCTATGCCATGCCACTTTGCCATCTGCCACAAAGAGGGCCAATTGACTGTTTCTACCATCCTCTCCCTCCAGCTGATGTCATCCTCTTCTGCCACTTTGAGGTGGTGTCTGTTGATGGCTATAAGAAAGTTATGATTTTAGGAGGCCTCCATCTCAAGTATCACCATCATTTTGACAAATTCCATTGTCCTCTCTCCTCATTAGTTACTTTTCATGAGTGATTATTTATGGTTACAATTAATACATTCATATTTTCAAAGTAGCTATGGTGATTGTCATACTCAAAAGCATCGTTGAAGTAAATATTTGAGTCATTTATGTACAAGTTCAAGAAATGGATGACGTGGAAGGCTTCTAAATGCTTACCTCGAAATTTCAAGGGTTTATCTAAAAGGCTCTTATGATAATGCATTCTCACTGAATGCTGATGATAGTATATTGGGTATATTGGTACAAAAATGAACTGCTACAATGACAGTATCATTCTACCATAATTCCCTGATTTTTTAGGCAGAACTGCGATGTGCTTGAAACCAAGCTTCTCCGGAAACTCTACTCGCACCCAGGCTTCCTGCCCCTTGCACTGGATTTATCTGGTCGCAACTGGGTCCTTGCCTCCTATAATTATCCTGTTGTCTTCGCAAGAGAGGTGAGCTGAATGCTGTTTATGAGATGCAAAATGAGTGGAAGAGTTTAACTGGGTTTTGGGTTGGGTGTGGATTTAGAATCCATCCAGGTGTAATGTTTTGTAGCCGCATTCATACCCCAGGGGTGGCCTGTAAGGAAAAAGAGTTGCCAGTGTGATCCTTAGGACTGAAAAAAGGCCTGCAAACTACTTATAACACCTAGAGATTATGTCACATACTATTTTTCATGAGCCCAGAATCTTACCTGGGATCTTATGACCACAAATAGGACATGCTGCCTAGGCTTGTTTGATTGTGGCAGCATTATGGGATAACCTGAGAATGCAGAAACAATAACTCAGATTAATTTTTTCCCTCTGGCTGGCATGAATTTGTGGATCACCAGCAAATTGCATTCAAATATCTAAAATAGTGCATGGCTCTCTGGACTAGCAGATACTTTGAGCCAAATGGGATCAACCACCAGGAACTCAAAGAGCTTGGGAGTCAGTTGACTTTTTTGGTCAAGAATCTTACTTTTTAATGTTAAACCTGGAAACTGAACTTTTCTTATTCAAGACTCTGAATTTAGGAAAAATTTTGCATGGCATTAGTTTTCATGAAGAGTGAGAATATCCCATTTTTCAAATTGAAGTTTTGCTGTATAAGCTGCCAGAGTGAGAGCCAATTTAACCACTGGAAAATTGAATCTACACCCTATGTTCATGCAGGCCATTGATCTTTGGGTCTATCACCCCTGCCTTGCCTCTTTGAGTTTTATACATGATCCTGTCCCTTGCAGCTGGATGACCCATATCCAGTGCTGCTGGTGGGTCAGGCAAAGGGAGCTATGGATCTGAGTCTTATACCCAGGGATCCCTGTGACCAACTCTGCACTCCTCTGCGCTTAGTGCTGGAAGAGGGAGACTTGTGTAAGACCCGCATTTTGAACATCTATTTTATTCATCCTTTTTCATTCATTTTAATCCTTGTTCCACATTGATATGCAGTGATCCTGGCTCAAAACCTGTGGACATTGGAATACTATCCATGGGATTGTGTAAGACTTGCATTTTGAACATCTATTTTATTCATCCTTTTTCATTCATTTTAATCCTTGTTCCACATTGATACGCAGTGATCCTGGCTCAAAACCTGTGGACATTGGAATACTATCCATGGGAGAAAGGAGAGAACATAGCTTTTGCCATCGGAGCTATGTGGGAAGGCGCATGAGCATGCTCTTGCTCACTCTGGTTGATGTTGTGGTGTCTCGTGTGAATCATTGTGATCTCAATTACCACTAGCTGTGTTCTGTGGGAAGCCTCTCCTTGGTTTGTGCCATCACCAAGCAAGTTTTTAAGTTCTCTATTTGATGCAAAATAGGCCCAATTTCTTTATTAATGGCATTAATTCTTGGCAGTCATTGGGTAAATATGAGTGGACATGAATCCAATTTTTGGGTAGGTGTAGAAGTATACATTTACAAGTCTGCCTTAAATTATATATGAGTTAAGTAATTTGATTTTAAAAGATTCAAAGTAATCCAGAATCCATTTGCTTATTGATATTAATGCATGGATGTTTAGTATAAATCTGAAGTAATCCCAACACTCTTACATACAAGAGCTAATTAAATGAAATATTGCAATCTTAAATTGAAACTTAAATTTAACTCAGAAATGCTCTTCTTTCCCAGCACTGCTCATGAATCACTGCACCACAGTTCCTTTGAAATGTCATTTCATTACATCTGGCTACCATTATGTGACCAATTTCAAGCTTATTGCATGGTGACTTCCTTGCAGGAACCCAAGGAACAGATTCTCCATGATAGAAAGGAATTATTGAGAAGCTGCCTATTTTTCATGTAGGTCAGAGTTCATAATTCCTTCTGGATCCAGAGATTCCATTGCATTCAAATCCCTAAAGCAGGTGGTGCATTTGATTCAAGTATTACCCATTGCTGATTCTTGCTGGAGTTAGACATTTGGAAAGTATGGTTGAGTTTTTATCTTGGCAAAACATGACTTGGTGCTTCACTTTAAATGAAATCAGGCTATGCCACAATGCATCAAAGATGTTGAAGAATCCCTCATCCACTTATGATCCAGTTGGCAGTATGCTGACTATGGGCAAGCTTATTGTATTTTGCTTGTTTGCATAGATGTGCAGGAAAGTGAAGATCTTGATTTTTTATCCCCCTTCTAATCTATGCATTTGCCTTAATTCTCAAGCTCACATCTAGTATTTATTCTTCATACAACCTATGCATTTCATTAGGCCTGTCATTGTTTTTTCTGGGCTATTTCATCATCAGCTCTTGTCATAGACATGCTGCTGACTGCAATGCAAACTTGTGACATGTAGGCTTTGTGCAAAACATACATTACTCTTGGTAACGAATGGCCATGGGAGGGGAGGCTTCTCCTTACTCAAATATTGATCTCATATGATGTGCCAAAGAAGTTGTCTTTCTGTCTGTGTTCACAGTATGGAACGGTATCGTAAACCGGGTGAGCCAAAAAAAACGCGCCGCTATTTTTACATTTTTGTGTCACCTCTGTAACACCAGCTAGAACTAAGAAATTTCTTTCATACACACTTCTATGCATCCTCTGAGCATTCGAAAATTTTGGGGCTTTTTATCTCCAGCCGTTTTTGGCATGAGTGATTTTACAAAAGCAACTGGAATTTTATTTTTTTGCACTTGCACCTGGATGCTGATGGGGAAGCCTCATTCCGACCCACTCAGAATGACATTTATTCTCAGGATTCTTTTCTTCTCAGAACTCGCTAAGCAGATCTCTGACTCATCCTTACGTCTGGCAATTTTAATCAAATAATTTTGCATCCCAGGACTATCATCTTGAGAAACAATGACTTCTACATGAACGCAGTTTCCTTCAGTTCTGACAAATTTTTTCTTCTGTTGCTTTGCTTCCTCTCAGATAAGCCGGTTCCTTGCAGCTTATGAATCAAACTCTTAACATTCGGCCTACATTTCTTTCATCTTCACCGTAAAATTTCTGAAAAATTCTGCCCAGTCCATCTTTTCGCAAAGAGAAGCATTTTCATGGGGAGCGGAGGAGCTCTGACCCGAGATTTGTAGGATCCACGCCTACAAACTTTTCTTCTGTTGATACGTTTCCTTGTGTGAAACAAAATTGGAGTCACCTTCGCATTAACGCTTCAATGCTAAAACGGCTGGAGAAAAACGAACAATAATTTTAGGATGTTTGAAGGATATGTAGATTTCGTTGCTAAAAAAAAATTGCCGTGCCATCTTCTATTTCATAAACTAATGAATCTCATAGAGCGGCGCGGTTTTTTTTTCTCTCCCGGTATATTTGCTCCTTTGCAATATGGAGGTGACATTCTGTACTGTGTATAATCTGTGTATAATCCATGCTAGTCATTGATACCAAGGACTCTTCCATATCCAGTTGTTCTATTGTGTCAGAATAAATTGAGTATAATGCTCAGCCTCCTTGTTTACTGTTTTACAGTTTTAGGGACTGTCAAAAAGTAATCTGATTTGCCTCTTCTCTTGAAAGTGAAGGCTTTCTTGAAAGTGAAAGATGTTGCTGCTTTTGTATTGATCCTTTGCTTTTGACTTCAAGGTTCATGACACTGACTTGCACTTTTTGCTTTCATATAACCCTGAAAATCCCATCCCCAGAAGTGTCCCAAAATGGCAGATTTTTGTGTTTTCCACTGGAGTCATTAATAGACCATTCAGTTTTCCCACGAAAGAAAACTGAACTGAAAGAATTGAGACGTTTGAGGAGGGCCTGGAGACCATCCACCCCTCCAGACAATGCCGGCTTCCCCCTCCACCTCTCAGTGCATTAAATCCTAGTATACTTGGCTGCATCAAAAAGCACTCTCCCACGAAAGCATCTTGCAACTCTTCATTAATGACCTGGGGTCTCTTCCCTTTCAGAGTTAAACTCTGAATGAATCATCCTCTAATCTTTGGGAAAATCTGCCATTTTGCAGCACTGATCTGTAAAGAGACTTTCAGCTTTCTCTATAAAGAAACAAATGCTAATGGTGTTGGAAACCTTGACATGTCATCTAGCAAATGACTTTGATAGAGCTACAGTCGTATTTACTTTCACTTCCAAGTCCTGTAACATTAAATTTTGATTGGACTTTAATGAGAAAGAAGTCCTTGCCTGCCTGACTGGTCTTCACAGTCCAGCTGGTCCTGGTGGCCAACTCAGGAAAGACGTTCCGCCGAGTTTCATAGAAAGACCTCTCAAATCACCTTGACATTCATTTTCCTGCTCAAATGTTTTGTAACACTCCTGAAGTATTTTCCTAAATAATCAATTTCAGAAGTATCTCAGTTTGACAGGCCACAAGTCCAGTGCAATCCAATTTCCCTCGATCGTGTGCATTTCCATCGTTTCCACATCGAGTGATCCGAACCCATGTCGGCCCTACACCGCACCTCCGAGGGCGGCGGCGGCGGCGGCGCCCTCGCCGGCCAGAGCATCAACCTCACCGCCGGCGGCGTCACCCTCAAGCCCACCGAGCTCGGCCTGCCCCGCAGCGGCGCCCTCCAGGAAGTCGGCTCCCAAGCGGTCTGGAGCCTCAGCAGCTGCAAGAGCGGCTTCGGCGTCGACCAACTCCGCGACGGCTGCCTCGACACCTACTGGCAGTCCGACGGCCCCCAGCCCCACCTCATCAACGTCCAGTTCCACCGCAAGATGACCGTCGCCGACGTCTGCCTCTACCTGGACTACAAGGCCGACGAGAGCTACACGCCCAGCCGCATCTCCGTCCGGGCGGGCACCCATTTTAACGATCTTCAGGTGAGGAACTTGCATGAATGTATTTTAATCTATTCATATTAGTTTATCTTAGTAAATTTAATGAGATTTTATTTATTTTTTCAACTTAATATGTGTAATATATTTTCTTTCAAGGGGGAAATTACCCCCTGGTTTCAGGTGACAACAAAATTCAAACTTGTTCATTCGACTGATTCAGCTGGACTAATGACGTGGTAGTGGAATTTTGAGAATAGATACTTCTCTTCCAAGATGGGATTCGATTTTTTTTTGTAAACCTTAATCCTGCTTTACTCCTCTCAGTTGGTCGCACGAGGGTTAATGACGTATGGCCATTCGTTGCTCAGATTTTGCTTGATGCGTCCTTGAGCCGACGAGTTTCTACGCAAAGCAGAGGGAAAATCGCAGTTCCGCACGCTTCGTTCCTTTTATTCATTCCAATTACTGCGATAAACGTTCTTATCTTTTATTTTTAAATGAATTCTTTAATAAATAAGATAGCTAGAACAAATAATGAGCTAGGATAAAAATCACGATGTTTATCGTTGCGTGAGCAGTTGTGCCCGCACTACTGCGGTGTTCCACCTCATGCACTGAAAAAAAAAAATATTTCGCAAAGACGAGTAGCTTTATTTGATCAATAAAAAATTGAATTTGAGGAGTGATGCGATTCTATCTGGAAACGCAGGAGGTGGAGGTGGTGGACCTGAACGAGCCGTCGGGCTGGATCGTGATCACCCTCGGGGACGTGTTCAAGCGGCCCATCCAGACGTTCATGGTGCAGATCGCGGTGCTGGGGAACCACTCGAACGGGAGGGACACGCACATCCGGCAGGTGATGATCCACTCGCCGGCGGAGAACTTCCCGTGCACCGTGGGGAACCTGGGGCACTTCACGACCGTCGACTTCCTGCAGCATTGCTTCCTGCGGTGACGAGGACCTCGAACTTCGTCTTTCGGGTGAATGGGTGCGACGAGTGGAGGTCGGTGCGGTGAGAAGTGCGACCTCGAGAACGGGTGGGCTCGACTTTCTGGAGAATGGAGCCAATATGCAAATACAATGACCGTGTCGTAACCCTTGATGGAACTCTTTTCGCCCGGTTCCTCGCCACCAAGTGCGAGTGGCATCGGTTGCAGGGCGTGGTGCAACCGAGAGTGCATCTCGTGGTGCAACCGAGGGTTCATTAAGGGCGCTCGGCGATTGAACTCGGGCGTCTCGTGCCTTTCGCGTCGAAAGAGATGGTTCCAGGGCGATGTCGGAGCGAGGTCGTCAAATCTGTGCTCATCTCGCTCGTGAGTGTTGCATCGAGAGGAGCGAGGTGCTCGAACCGGTGCTCGAGCGCACCGGTTCGACCTCGCACCTGCTCGAGCAGGTGCGCGGTCTCAAATTGAAATCTCCTCGTACTTGCAATACTGAAAAGGACTCAGGAAACCACGATTTTCATCCGATCTGGAGAGTCATTGCATGACTCGTCTCGACGCATGAGTGTATCCTTGTACTTGAAAGCCATATGATTGAATCACCTGCCAAGAGTACCCAGCAGTACTGGGGATCGGGAAGTCCGTGGGTCTCCCGAAGCAAAACCGAAATTAAAAAAAAGAGGTATCACTACTTGCAGTATTGCAGAGAAGGAAAGAATCGGTACCGAAATGCTCACTATTGAATAGAGCTGTTCAGGTGGGGGGGGGGTAGTAGTTGGGGGCAATGCCCCCCATGCGGGATGTTG